AAACAAAACAAAATTGAAATCCCTTCCGACAGGACTTAAAGTTACTTCGCGTCGTCAGTAACTACGGGTGGGGATTTGAGGGTGGGGGGGGGGGGGGGGGTTGCACCTGGATTATTGTCATCCGAATGGTGGCACTTTGTGTAACCTGTTGTTAATTGCTCGTTGTTTTGTCCTAGGGAGGTTAAACGTCACTCACTCACTCCTCACTCCCTTTTAGTGTCTCCCGTTCCTTATTTATTTGTCTATAATGCCCTTCCTTAACAAGGTGGAGAACCAACATGTAAAATATTATTGCAACATTTCTTAAACGTGCTAAAACATCGGACATGGCATCAAGGCACAGTTTTGCTCACGCATGCATTCATGAATGTGTGTGTGTTATGTGAATGAGTGAGTGGGTGAGTGAGTAAGTTAGTGATTGAGTGAGTAGGTGTGTGTACCATCAATGCTTTTTATTTTTTTTTTTGGTTTTTTTCCTTGATTGCCATGTCTAGAATTTTATCTGATAACTTGTAACATCTGTCATCGTTCTTTATCAGTTTTTAAACTTGTGTAGACTTCAATTTTTTTTTTCAACCTGTAGCGCTGGCATGTCCCTGGTTACTGCGAATGTTTTTGTCTTCTATGTAGTTATTTTCACGTCGTATTTTCGTTTTATTTTGTTCATTTCCACGCAGATTCGCCACTGAAGTTGCCATGCAGGTCAAGGCGAACGGAAATCTCCACTCCTGTGATAGTCGATGTCTCTGACAGTACGACCTCTTTGAACGAGAACCCGGACCTAATCTCTACGTCGCAGGATCTCCTTTACATCAATGTGGAATGGAGAAGGCGCCAACTTGGCATCGTTCTACACACTTCAGATCTGGTTCTGCCATCAACCCATAGCGAGTGGAATTCAGGCAATGAAACTTTGGCAGAATTCACAGAAAAGAACTGTTTCTATCAAGGCTATGTCAAAGGTCAGAGGGCATCGTACGCGGCTTTGTCCACTTGTGAGGGTTTGGTAAGTTCTAGAAACTCACAGCGTCCGTTATTTATGGCAAAATGGCAATCACAACAACGCATTACTTTTTCTTCTTTATTGATGTGATATTGTCATTTACTGTTTCATTCTTAGAAAGAGCTCCACAAAAAAGACTGCCGATGAAAGAGAAGAAGAAGAGGAAGAAGAAGAAGAAGAAGAAGTAGTAGTAGTAGCAACAGCAGCAGCAGCAGTACAAGAAGAAGAAGAGGGAGAAAAAGAAGAAGAAGAAGAAGAAGTAGAAGAAGAACAACAACAAGGAGAAGTTTTTTTTAGGAAATGTACAAGCCCACATTTAATCCAACTAAATAGATTGCTGTAAATGACCGCAGAAAAAGCCAAATATTTTAGTATTATCTGATTAAATGTCACAAGTAAGAGAACACATAAAGCCATTATTAGGATTCAACATTGGAAGCCATTCAGAACATCAACGATTTCTTGTTTTGCAAGAAGTAATGCCTATTTACTTTTGTGTGTTATTCCTCACCCTCCACCATCCAGTGTATAGTTGTTGTCTGTGCCTAGATTGCGGCAGCCCCAACCCCCCCCCCCCCCCCCTTTTTTCCCTTTCCCCCATGGCAAGGGCTTTGACAGGCTGGCTAAACCAGGTGAGGGTAGCCGAATGGTCTAATAACCTTCGTTGAGTTAGGATCTGCCTATCCTAGCTAGCAAAGACTTGACTCGGCTGAATATGCGGTAAAAGCGAATACATGACTCAGTGGATCTAATGGCGGGTACTAGCAACGCGCTGTGGAGCGCAAAGAGCACGGTGAGGTACGTAAAACACCCTGGTCATCCACTGCACCTGACTTCATCTCCCGCCATCTCGACTTGTCCTGCCACTGGATTCAGATGGTTACAGGC